ATTAACTGAAAAATAGAACCAGATGAAGACTTATTTGCACATTTGTTGCGTATGGTGATTTTGACAAAATATAATTTTGGTCTCAAGATAACTAAGCAAAGTTTTTTGGTAGTCAATACTTTGGAAATCACAATTCTTTATTTATAAATAAAATATTGCATTAAAATTAATTGTTGAACCCCAAGAACACAAATACAATTTTGAATCCACTTCAAACTTACAAACTTACATTGACTACTGCTATATGCACTGTAATACACTTTACCTATTTATAAGCTCAAATAACTTATATTTCTAAATATTTATTAAATACTATTTCAGAAATATTTATTAAAAGAAAACGTCATAATAATTTTCACGAAATATTAAAATAACTTACATTTTAAAACGATGAAAACTAAGCATCATGATAAAAACTAAATTTGAACTCTAATAAGTTTTTCTTAATGAGTGCAATAGAATTTTTATTTTGATCAACATTAAGACCTTTAGCATTAATCACAATAAAAAAAACATCCTTCCATAATTAAGTACTGGCTTTCTAAATTTTGTAATTACTGAAACAACATAACGAGAAGATGAAAGTCGATAGTTACTTGGCATATCGCTAATTCAAAGCCTCTCAATTTTCCTTTCATTTTAGGCATTAGGAAACCATGTCTGCTCTAGGGTATATTCAATTAATAGCAAGTAATTTCGGTTATAAGAGCTTAACAATCGAAGTTCTTTTTATACTTATCTTATCATCCGCATTTTTCAACTTAGCTGCGCAATTAGAAGATCTTTTAAATTTAAATGATCTTTGACATTTACTTTGATGTTATAAAAAATGAGAAGTATTAATTAAATTAATTAAATTTCTCGAAAAATTAAATCTTGCATTTCTTTTTACTCTTAGTTCAAGTGGTTTGTTCTTTCTAACACTTGCCATTTGCTTGTACACTTAAAAACTAAATTCGTCAAGAATTGAAAGATAATTAAACAGCATATGTCTATTAATTCTTTATTCTGTTTTAATATTATTATCCCTTTTTTGTGCATATAAATGAAGGAAATGACAGTGCAGAAAAATTTTTTTTTAGTTCTTTAACACGAGTATTCTAACAAATGGTGTCAAAAGGCACTTTTCAGATTTTAAATTCAAATTATCCTTTAAGTTTAATTAGTTTATTTAAATTAGATGTTTGAGTTTTGTAAGTTGTTAAATTAATTCAGTGATATTATTTTAATTTAGCTCATCTTGGATATAAAAATTGCAGTTTTTTCTATAAAGTGTTCTTTGAAAGGATTTTATGACATTTTATAGAATTAAATAATTTTAGTTATAAATACTAACTTCATTTTGTGATATTATATCAGTTCAGGATCTATAAATTATGCATAAACATTTTTCAATTTTTTTTCTTTATAAACTACAATATTTTGCGCATAACCTTGAAAACAATAAAAAGAAGATATTTTTTTTTTAAAAAAATGCACTTCTATTTTTTTTAAGCTTTAATTTATCATCCTCATACTTTCTCTTCAGCATTTGTCAAGCAAGCTTCTGCCAACTTTGAGATTTTGGACCATAATTTTCAGCACGGGGAAAAAATTTTGGTAAAATGGTTCCTTAATTTATCATGGTTATATAACATGGTTTTCATGGCTTCTTAATTTATCATCGCTTTAAGAAAAAAAGTATGGTCAAAACTACCAAAATATGGTAAACATTTATCTCGTTTCTTGCTCTATGGAAACACCAAAAGGCTGGGTATTTTTTACCAAAGCGCTTTGGTAATGATTTTGGCAAGATTAACGATAAAATAAAGTTTTATAATACCAAATAAAATTTGGTAAGTGTGATAAGATTCAGTAATTTTAACATGATACCATAGAGTATGGCAACCTAATTATTCTGTCAAATTTACTCTTCAGTTTAATAATTTCTACTATATGTGAGGTAAGCCATAATTTTGAAAACAAGAATTTCCGGTAAATCGGTACCATATGAACGGAAAAATTACTAAATGAAGGGTTTAAATGCCTTATACTTTAGTGATTTTATTATAAGAATAATGAATTTTATTACTAGAAATATTATTTCCATACAATATGAGAATTTTACCAGAAATTTTTTCCTCCTTGCAAATTCGCGATTAATTAGTTTATTTCAAAAAAAATTTATTTGATCTAAAAAACTGCATTTAAAATTAAATATCATATTTCTGTCATATGATTATAAAAATCCTTTCAGCAAAAAATCCAGTTGTTTTTAATATTGTAGTGCTTTTATAAGTTACAGATAAATTTTGTCACTTTCCTGTGAGCTACTTTGTCACAATATATGCTGGAATCAAAGTGATTCCAAAACCATTAGTTTTGCGCTATAATCTTCAAAATTAAAATTTTTTTTTAGCTAACATAACAAAGGAAAAGCTTATTGTGATGTCATTTTATCAAATACTTTCAATTTTCACTCATTCTTTAATTTTAACTTTTCTTGTCTAGTTAAAAGCACTCTGCTGTTAGCAACAGATGCGTGAATGTGCCCTCTTTACTTTCCTTCACGTTGTTGTTAAAATTGTCGAAAAATTGTGCGGATCACAACGTTATTATTCATTTAAAATTTTTTCAGAAAAGCTTTTTTAGAATGAACACTGATCATTT